AGAGGGAAAGGTCTGTATCACTGTTAAAGTACTTGTGGTATCTACCAGACCTTTCATGTAAACATTTTTAAGAAGAAGAAAATGAGCCAATTTAATTACTGTGGGTGTAGCACATTTCACCACTGTTTCTGTTCTATGACATATCTTAATTTACCAAAAATACTACCTGGAGGATAACCTGCGGACTCTTATCTCACTTATGCTTCTGCATGGTTCAAGATGAGGTCACCACCTGTCTTGGAGTTGTAAATCCTGGCCTAAAAGCTCAACCTGTTTGTGTCAGCATTTAGTTTATCTATGCAGATGTGGAAAGATTATATGTAAGACTGATAGCATTCAGGAGGTATTTTTATCAAAAATAAGTGGTTGAAATATCACTGACAAATTTTACAACCAGGTAAAATTTCCATCAAATTTCTGCATTAGCAGGAGATTTAAATTTTTAAAATCCTCTAACAATGTTTTCTAACAATGCAGTAATGTCCTAGACTTCTTAATTTAATTTAATTATATCGCAAGATCTATATAACAAAATCGCATGTGGAAAAAGTTTTACTTTTTTTATATCTTTGAGTAGGAATGTCTAATTTGGTATTATGCTTCTAAAGAAATGCCTTAGGTTGCAAATGCAAGATGCGGCCGGGGGTGTATATTCCATTGCCATCTGTTAGAGGTGGGGCAGTTGTCTTCTGTTAATGGGCCACCTATTAAAACCGAGTGGGGCAGTTTTCTTCATCTCTTCCTCAACCCATCCTCCCTCCAGGAGGTATCTCCTGTTCATGAGCCACTGCATGAGTCTCACTGCATGACAGATAAAATTACATCATCCTGTTGTGGGATGCTCCGCCCAGGGGGAGGAGCCAAGCATTCCTAACTGGATATAATCAGAGTTGGAATACCACAGGCAGCCTTTTCCCACCATATTCCCAGGCCCATCTACACCACCACCAGACCTTCAAAAGAAAACTACACCCTTCTAAAGATCACTGCTTCAACAGAACCACATCTGTCTCTCTAAGAGGGCTGCAGCCACCCTTTAATCAAACTGCTACCAGCACCTTGACCAAGTGTCAGGTTGTATTCTGACTCTGTCAACGTTGTTTTGTATTACTGCACTTTTTAAAATTATTTTTACTTTTCATAATAAGCAACTGTTATTCCTACTCCCATATCTTTGCCTGAGAGCCCTTTAATTTCAAAATTGTAAAATTCAGAAAGAGGGAGTTTACATTTTCCATTTCAAGAGAGGCTCCTGCCTTCCTTAGCAGACACCTGTCTTTTCAAACCAAGACAGGGAAACCACCTATCACAGTTTTGAACTGGTGAAGATATGCCTATTAATATGGTTTGATTTGATTAAAATTCAGATTAAAATAGAAAAATAAATTACTTGTTTTAAGAGAGGCTTGAAAAACATTATTTTTCTGTTCCTTTGTGATATCAGCAAGCCCTGTTCAGCTACCTGAAACACTTTGTAGGAGTCAAGTTTGAGTTTTGCCCTCGGCTGTCTAGATTAAACAATCTGAAGATCCATAAGGGTGGGATAGGACATGTAGGCACAATGCTCCCAAACTGGCAGCTGTTCACTTCCACAATAGCTTGGTTCAGTTAGCTCTTCATTTTTCAGTGTAGGAGATACATTTGCTCTTAATTTTCCAATGGTCACACTAAAGTATTTGCATGAAGATTTATTATGTTGTTAAAAAAAAAGAGGTGACTTTCTTTACAAGACAGATCCACAGGTAAAATGAATGCTGATTTTTAAATTTTTTTCTTCATGTCAAGTTTTGTCCTCAGAATTCAGAAGTTGTTTTTTATGTAGCCTTTTTACTTCCTTTGGAGGATGTTGTGCCTAAATGAGCCTTATCATTCCAGTGACTATATCTTTAAACAGAGGCGTAAGGAAGAGATACTGCAGCACCTTTGAATTTTGGAAGTGTAGTATGTGCTACAGTTCAGGTTGGAAAAACTGTAAGTGTGCTATCTACTAGAAGCCATTTCAATCACAGAATTTATTAAAAGTGTTCTTTTTTCTGATCATGATGCACTGCATCACAAATATAGCTTTTTATCAGTATTAATGTTTGCTACAAGCAGGTGAAGCAAGAAAATATATAAATAAAGTGGCATAAAGTAGGATTAAATGGAATCACTCCTCAAGGATTATCAGAGCACCTTATATCTCATAGAGCCTTATATCATCATATCATGTGGAAACAGCTTCTATTTTATGAGATTCTTTTTAATTCCTAACCTTTGCCCTTCTTCATTACAGCAGACTTTTTTGCTTGATATTAGTATTTTAACCACTTAGTAGCTTAAATTTACCCATTTAGCCTTATGAGGCACTCAACTTCATATATTTTTTAAAACATAATTTAACTATTAGCCACTACACCACTGTTTCATTTTTACATTTAAATAATATTTTCAATTTTCTTCCGATTCATGTAAATTAGTAAAGGTCTTTAAACATGGCACAGTTATTTTTTTTATCTTTGCACTGATGTCTGTTAATGGGCCTTTTAACAGCGAGGTGTTGCAATGTGTCCTGCATATTCTAGATGATAAATGCTAGAAGATACTTAGAAGATCATCTGGAAGAAGTATCAAATGTTTGTCAATGCATATACCATTTTTGATTCAATAATTTTTGGCCAAGATGAGTGGTTTTTCATTGTTGTCTTGGTGTCTAAGCAGGAGAATATCAAACCCATTTATTTGTCTGAGTCGGTGACATTAAAAATCAGTTGAGACTATTTAAAAAGTGTTGAGATATAGTTGATAACTGGAGCTGGTTGAGCGGAGGCTTGCAAGGTAACCATTTGCCTAGCATGGTAGAGAACTCTCAAACTGCATCATCAAGGTAAATATTAGTTTATCCAAGATTTATCACAGCTTAAGTCTAGGTATAATGGAAGTGCTCTGTGTAGCACATCATAAATGGTTTATCTTTGTACTCAGTTGTCTAATATGCATCTAGCTGAGAGTAGGAAAATAAATCAAGGCTCTATGTCTCTATACCAGATCACTATCCTGAGTTCAAAGTGCTCCTTTCTGAGAGAAGATTCTGATCCTTAAAGAACCATCCATCTGTCCAAAGTAAAGATCAGTTGCCAATAACGTGTTTTCCAAAAAAATCCAATGCTGACACTTCCATAAGAAATCTCTTGGCTTTCTTACCACTTCTTACAGGTGATTTCCACCACCCTGTCTCCAAATGCTCAGCCTAAGGCCTTGCTTTACATTTATGAGATTTTTTTCCCTACTATGCCTTCTCAGAGCAATGAAGACAAGTTATGAGGACTAGATTGAAATGTTCAACAATTCTCATCATTGCTATTTGCATTAGGAAGTTTCCACCTGGTCAAGCTCTGTCTAGCAGGATAAACAAAGACAATTACAATGTCAGTGTTTTCTAAAGAGCCACTTTTGCAGAAAATGGCTTTCCTTTTATCTAATAAAAGTGCAATTGAATGTAATTTTGTTCTTTTAAGTAAACGGTTCTCTAAAAGAGATACAATTACAAAATCACAACTTAATCTGTAAAAAGACAATGCTCAACAGGTTCCAAGAAGTAGATCCTGGATTATCTTTTGAGTTCTTCAAAACAGTCTTCCAAGTGCCACTGCTTAATAACTGATAGTTGCACTCTTTGTACATAAACTTAGTCCTTTAAGATTTGCAGCATAAGACAGCCATCTTGTCTTCTTTTGTTGTTAGAGGAAAATAGAGGGACTGGATTGCCTTATGGCTGCTCCTGGCTACAGATAAAACCTAGACAATCATCTATGACTGTCCAGCACATTTTTTATCTTTCACTAAAAGAAGCTTTATAAAATCAATCCTATGTGTAAAGTTACCATCCTCTGGTGAATCTGGGGAGGAATCCAACTGTTCCATCCATCCAACCCCTACAAAACTCCAGAGTCTCTACAGATGATTTCTTTCTTTGCTGAAAGAAGACTTTTGTCCAATCCTGTACATTTCATAGCCATTTCACTCTCCTTGTTAGTTCCTACTCAGATCATATCATTCTTTATTAAAGGTCTACACAACTCAGTATGAAATTAATTGAAAGTTTCTCTCTGATTTCACAAGGCTCTGAACTAAGCCTTTTTGCTTGCATTGTAGCCCTATAGGACTTTTCTAGTCTTCTCTCTTTTCTAGTCAGTTCTCTAGACTTGATGATCAGCTCCTGATTCAAACAGCTGCCAAATATCCTGCTGGGCACTAAGTAACTGCTGCTAATTTCCCATTGCATAGATAATGAAGCCTGACATACCTACAACACAGCACGTGAGATTCAATTTCAGCTTTCTAAACTATACTAAATGGAGACATTAGCTGTAAATTCACAGTTTATTTCCTTTGATTTCCGAGCAGATAGAGCTTAAAGCTACCGCATATCCTTCATGCGTATCTTTTTTATGCACACCTGATTTCTCCCATATTCCATTATTATTAAGAGATTTCAGGAGTGTTACTGTCATTCACTGACATGTTCTCGGTGCCAAAATACTTTTTTACCCGCATGTTGTAATGTTTGTTATGGCAGGGTGTAAGAGTCTGGGGAGAAAAAGCACTTCGAGGCATAGGATCTGCTCTTGCTTGCAGGAATGAATTAGGGGTACTTGTATAAACAAGACCAGAGAATTGCCTGCCACAACTTTTCTCATTGTTTTGCTGTTTCAACTACTTGAGAGCCCATATCAGTTTTGTGCAATGGCTCTGCTGTCATTTCTCGGGAGGTTACAATAGGAAGCTGTTGCCTGCCTCATGAAGCTCCCAGTTGCTCTGTCATGTAGCCAATGCCAGTGTTTCCCACAAGAGTCTGGGCTGCTATTCCAAGGCTCCTCTCTGCTGCCTTCATGACAGATGGTGCACAGCTCTGCAGCAGCCACAGACAAAAGTAACTCGTGGAGGTGTGATTCCACGGTAAAGATTTTCCAGCATTGCTGCTCAGAAAAACTCCAATGACAGGAAGTGACAGTTAAAAATTCTATTATGCACCTAGAAGCGTTTATTCACCCCTCATTGAACACAGAGATGGAGTGCCAATTTGCATTACCTGAGCATCATGAATTTCTGCAGCATAAAAGCTAACACGTTGCATTCTGGCTTGCCAAGCTGGTCTGGGGAACAGCTGTAATCTTGTGGAGTCTTTAAGAGTCCTTGGAACCACACATGTCTGAGAAGCTGCAGGGTCAGGAAATGGGCTGACAGTGAGGGCTTGTCATCTGGGCAGTGGAAAAGAGCAAGAGCAGCAGTGCAGCTGGGTGGGCTGTGTGGGTGGCAGCTCCTCAGTAGCACAGTCTCCAGTTCTTTGCCTGCTCGTGGTGGCTCACAGCTGACTTAGGGACGTACGCGAGCATCACACGGCAAATGTGGAAGAGCCTTGTCTGATATTGAGCCTGCAGAAAGCCCAGATTTAAGGCAGTCTTAAGAAAAGAGAAGATGGTGCAGACCAGAGACTAAAAGTATTATGTGAGTTCTTAGGAGGCATAAAGAAAACTCTAGCATAGGGACAATTAATTGAAGCAAGAGAGATTTATTTTTAAATTGGCTACCTATTCCCCTAAGAAAGTTAAGGCCACAAGTAATTCTACTGGGACCCAATAAAAAGGAACAACAGTTTTTAATACACACTTCTTTAAAAATAACACCAAAATAGAACTTCTGGGGAAAAAATTAGCATGCATCTCACCTCAGTGACCTAATACTGATAATGACCATTATAAAATTACTTCTACAAAGGCATATTTGGGGCTCTTTGGATACTATAAACATTTAGGCTCCTCAGCAACAGGATCCATACTAGCAATCATATCCTAAAATAATGTAGGCTAGCAACCTATGGCATTTGCATTAAAACATCTTAGAGCTGAAAACAGGCATTGAATTTTCAGAGTTGTTTCAGTTAAGTCAATAAATTGACTTTATCTCTCCTCCTTTCTCATCCAGGCTCTAGCTGACTTCATTTCCCCACTGATGGTCTTCACTTCTGTGATTTCTCAACTTGAGGCAGTATGATTGCTTGTTGACAGTGAATGTACTATATAATGTGTGTACTTCTAAATTGCTTTCAAGCTGATAATTCTTTCTAATAAGCTTTGAGACAGTGCTCAGTATGTTTAATGTTTCTATTCTTTTTTATGGAATCAAAAACCATTGCCAATATTTTTTTTCCTTGTTTAAATCTTCTTGCCCCTAATCAGCTGGAAGAGGGAGAGGACTTATGCTACAGGTGCACAATTCTGAGCACAGCTGTCTCTCCTGACTGTTTATGAAGGCTTGTCATAGAAAACAAGACCACTGCCAACCTTGTAACAGGAAAATATGTATTCACTGATTATTATTTTTGTTTGGGTTTTATTCCTCTGTAAAATAAAAATGCAGATGTAGAGCTCTATGCGTTGTTGGCAGTGGTGCCCCATAGGTCTTCTCACAGTAAATTAAAAGAAAATAGATATTTGCTAATTTGTGGTTAGAAAAAAATTAAAATTAAAAAAGACATTAAAGTGATAGTCCCTTCATAAGTCTGGCAACAACAGGGAAAAACAACTTCACAGCCTGATGTTGTTGCAGCTTGGCAGCCAAATGGGTTTGTGTAGGCTGCTGTTGGCAGCAGTTTTCATTAGCTTGGGGCCTCCTTTCTGGAGAGACAGAGCTGAGCTGCCACACACAGATGTCCAGTCTGTGCAAGCAGAACTCACTTGTACACTGTCCTGCTGAGCAGCCCCCTTGAGCATCTCCCATCTGCCTTTATGTGCAATTCTCTTATCATTATGACATCTTCCTTCAATATCTGGGCTTTAATTTATACGTTGGCTTTAAGCTAAATTTCCTGTTATGTTAAAATAACAATTAATAATCATGGCAGAACTTCTCAGCATGGAGAACTGAGTCACATTTCTGTATACTTTGAATAAATGCCACCATCGCTACAAACTGCTGATTGGAGTAGAGCACTGTTTTAATTATTATTAGTATTTCTGCTTCACCTAGTAAGCTAATATGCAAAGCTAATATAGGATCATTGTAATGTTTATTGATTACCTTTGGTAAATCCCACAAATGAGAGGGCACTTGCAGAAAAAGAAATCAGCACAACTATGGATCAGATTATTGCTATCCTTCTGGGGCATCTGGTCCCATGACTGCAATAAGATTGGAAGGATTTAGCTCTTTTTCTTTCTGACTCCCTGAAAAGAAATATGACATTATGAATTCTTCCTTGAGAGACAAAATAGAAGGAATTAATCACATCCTCATGACAAGAGAATTCTTCTAAAGTAACAGCCGTTACTAGAAAATATTTTAAGACCTTATTTTAGAAACAAGTACTCTTATTGATGTTGTACTGATTATATTTCAGCAAACACTTTCTATATGACGATGTTTTCAAAATCAGATCTTTTCAGAACTCTGGAGATGAACCTTGTGAAGATTCAGAATATTTCAGGATCCAGAAAGACTCCTAGATAAATTGTGTGTAAGGAATAATGTGTAGCTTTAGTATCTTCCTCTAACAAAACTTTTCTCAACATCTCTGTACTAAGACAAATTTTTCAGTGCAGCTAGGATTTGGATTGGAAGGAATAAAGTTTTGTAACTTGAAGGGATAAACTTGCAGGATGCAGTGATGTTTGCTCTGTTTGTGTAAATGTCCCAACAATGTGGGTTTTTTACTCTGTAGATGAGTTTGAAGGCTCTCCAGAAAATAAAACTTATTTGCTATTTTATTGTCAGTGCCTCCTGAGAAGGAAGCTTTATTCAATCAATAGAAGAAAAGATCACTACAGCATCTTACGATGCTCGCAGCAATGTTTTAAAGAAAACAACAAGATCAAAACCTTAGGTGATAGAAATTAATTTGTGTGAACAAGAAATTCCCCCCATTGTGCAGCTGAGGAGCTTTACTCTGGCAGTTCTTTGTTTTGCTTCTGAATTGTGGTGGGGTTTTTGAAGTTTGGAGGGGGTTGGTTATATTGGAGTCGATTTTCTTTTAGCTCTGCATCTTGATGTGGTATACCCAGTTCAGCACAGCCCAGTACTTTGAGTGACACAGCTGAGGACTTTTATTGCATTGTCCTAAATATTTCATTTGTGGCTCTAAACTCAATGTGGCTATGTCAAAGTTAAGACCAGGCAAACAAATATGTCATATGTCCATCTCCTCTCTCTGCATTATTTAAATAGCAGTGGAATTCTGTCTCAATTTACTTCCTCTTTGGCTTAACTCGTATGTATTTAGCCCTTCTAATATTTCCGTAAGTCTGTTTTGCAAGTGAATTATCACTTTTGTTTTTCTACCCTGGATTTCTTTCTATCTGTCCCTGCCTCTTGTGTAATGAGATGTCCAGAACTGCTGCAGGTGTAGTTGTATTTATTGCCCTACATTGATGAAATACCTTCTGTGGATTAAATGCTATTTAAAGAGCTGTGGACTTTCTGCTATCAAAGTGCATTGCAAAAGAATTTCTTGATTGCCTCAACATTATGACTAGGTCTCTTTCTATATGTTCAACAGTGAGGTGTTAATTTTGATTTTTTTTTAAATTAATGGAAACAACTGAAGAAACATAGCCTTTTCATTCCCAAAGAAGTCTGAGGCAGCTTAACTGATTAAGTAGCTCGCTATTACTTGGTGGGGTTAAGTAAGATGTGCCCAGTATGAAATTTACAAAAAATAAGCTACAGCCTAAGTGACATGGAAGTGACCTGAAGAGAAAGTGAACATGATTCTGTGAAAGACAGTTCAGTCCATGCTCATACCTGCTAGTACATATAAATGACAAATGCAACTCCTTCTTGAATTGACTCATTATGTAGAAGGCAGAACGAATGCAGAGCTAACTTGTATATTAGGCATGCCTTACATAAGGCAAGCATAGGCATCTCTCTGGCATTAAAAAGTGCACATTAAAAGATCTGAAAGAGTAGTGGTCAAAAAATTGCAGTCAAGAATGTTATTTTTCTCTCAGAAAATATGACATCTTTAAAATTCAGCAGTTCCCTTGATGTCTGTCAATGTGTCTGTTTATTTTGAGGAAGAAAAAGATGAAATGTTGCTTTTTGGTAAGGTCAAACCCTTTCCTTTTCAAGTACACCTGGAATGTTTTGATTGTTTCAAGACTCACATTCTTACTTTGCAAAAAAAAAAAAAAGTGTATATCAGTATGCTTTAAAATTGATAGCATATTTACATTTATTTACTTTTATATACTAACCAAAAGAAATCTATTTAGGGCTGTCTAAAACATATACTTCAGTTGATGCTGCTGGCTCTATGATTTAAAAAGTCATTAAGATGATTTTATTTCTCTTTACTATTAGAACAGCATTTTGAAGGGATAGAAATAGTATATTGGATATTGAGCTACCTTTGAAACGCTGAACATAGTGTACAAGGTCAACAAAGCAAAAAGCTAGGTTAGGTCACACACAGATGTCAAACACCATCCCAGATACCATTATAACAGTACACAAGCTGGGCTCAGCTACTCTATTTCAAACACCAGCTCAGATAATTCAGCTCAATTGGGACAAGTTTTATAGCAACTCTTTTATTGCAATCTTCCTTCAGAGCTAGTGACATACGTAAAATCAAAGCTCCGTTGAAGAGTGGAGCTCTGCCTACGACTTTAACCTGTGTCTTTGTCAGAACCTTGTACGAGACCAAATGAGTCAGCAGCCTCCTGCTCTTTGTGGAAAGATTCTGAGAGAATTTTTGAAGAATTTTCCTCTAAGGAGGTTCATTTGCATCTAATGAAAACATATGGTTTTGGCAGCACCAATCTCTAAGAAAAGCAGTCAACCTTTCTTTTATTTTCCTCCTTTAGAAAGTAACAGCGTAAGTAGTGAGCTCACTACCAGTAAATCACCAAGTAGCATGAAGTATTCCAAATGTAATCATAACTATCCTCATTTGAAGAAGACTTGGAATGAAGTGAATCATAACTGCACTTCATAACAAAGATAATATTGTGAAAATGTTCCTATTCAGAAGCAATGAGTCATGCTACAATGACCATCACTTAATCATTCTGACTAAACAGAAATCAACATTTACAACTGAATGTGTTACATTCTGAAATATTTTGGAGAGATAAATATGGCAAAGTATAAGAAGTTGTAAAAGCTACCACTGTATATTAATTCATGTGACCTAAAAGCTACTAGTTTCACTTGCAAAAACTGTGGCCAGTGAGCTGTGAAAGGCCCTTACTATTTCAAAAATGTCTTGAAAACATTTTTCAGTATCAGGAATAATCCACTTCACCTTTTAACACACTGTTTATTTTCCTTTCACAGAAGATTAATGCAACAATAAATGCTTGGTATAGTAAGAATAAAGACAGCATGGATAATCTCAAAAGGAGAACTTTTCTTTTTCCCTTAATGTAACTTAGTATTCAAAATAATATTAAGTAAGTTTGCCAATGACACTAAACTGGGAGGAGCTGCCAATTCCCTTGAGAACAAAGAGCCCCTACAGATAGACCTTGACAAATCAGAGAGATGAGCAACCACCAACCATATGAAGTTTAAAGTGGAAAAATGCCAGATTCTGCACTTGGGATGAAGAAACTCTAGTTGTGTGCATAGACTGGGGAATGAGAGGCCAGAGCAGCTTTATGCAAAGAGACCAGGGGGTCCTGGTCCATGGCAAGTTGAACCTGAGTCAGCAGTGCCCTGGCAGCCAGGGGGACCAACCCTGTCCTGGGGTGCATCAGGCACAGCATCACAGCTGGGCAAGGGAGGGGACAGTACTGCTCTGCTCTGCACTGGAGTGGCCTCACCTTGAGTGCTGTGTGAAGTTTTGGTCACCACCATATAAGATGTCAAATTATTAGAGAGTGCCCAAAGGTGAACAAGAAGGATGGTGAAAGGCTTTGAGGTAAATCTTTGTGAGGAGTGGCTGAGGACACTTGATTTGTTCAGCAGGAGATTGAGGGGACACCTCACTGCACTTTTTAACATACTCACAAGGGAAGTGGAAGGGCAGGTAGCGACCTCTTCATGACCAGTGATAGGACTTAATGAAATGGCCTGAAATGTGGGAAAAACAGGGCACCCCTGATGTCTGGGAGAGGAATGACGAGGAGGACTCCATTATATCAGAAGGCTAATTAATTACTTTATTATAATATATTATTGTATACTATATTACACTGAATCTGCACCAAGCACTCAACTCAGCTCAACTCAACTCAACTGTACTGTCAGCCCAGCACACACACACACACACATGGATTCAATTGGTCAATAAATCAAAACCCTCACACCAGAATCCAATTACCAATTCCCTTAAGGTAAACAATCTTCCTCAATGCATTCCACTTGTGAACAAGAGGCGCAGCAATTGAGATAAGAATTATTTTTTCTTTCTCTGAGGTTCACAGAATGCGAATCCCAGAAAATATCCTTGGGAAGTTGTTCCTTGCTTTTCTCACTAAAGAGAAATGTGGCTACACCTGAAGTTGTTTCAGGGGAGATTTAGGTTGGATAAAAGGAAAAGGCTTTTCAAACACCAAGACGATGTTTGAGCACTTGCATCTGTGCAAAGTGGTCACAGCACCAAGCCTGTCTGAGTTCAAGAAGAATTTGGATAATGCTTTTTAGGCACATGGCATGACTCCTGAGGTGTCCTGTGCAGGGCCAGCATTTGGGCTTCATGAACTTGGCAGGTGCCTTCCAACTCAGCATATTCTATGATTCTATGACTTTTCTATACTTTTGATTTTTTTATAACTGTTGATAAAAACCTATTATGGAGTGGCAGCTTGCTATCAAATGGCCCTTTAAAGGACTGGTTTATAATCCCATATCTAAGGACCCTGTATCCCTCTTGGTCTAGTATAGATTTAACATCTTCCCCTTAAAAACTCACAAAAATAATTTTAAAAAATCAAGTTTAAAAGAAAAAATCTCAAGCCCATTTTCTTTCCCCTACTGTCAAACACTGAACAGCCATCGTTGTAACAGCAACTTGTGTCCTGGGCTGTGTTAGAAGTGTTACCATTGGGTCAAGGGAGAGTATCCTTTTGCTCTGTTCAACACTGGGGAAGTTGCACTTGGAGTTCTGAGTTCATTGCTGAGCTCCCCAATGCAAGTGAGACATGGACATAGCGCAAGGAGTCAAGTGTATCACCACTAGGAAGATTAATATACTCAAACTGCAGCATCTCTCATATCAAGAAAGGCTGAGAATATGAACCACTCAGGCTGGAGAAGAGAAAATTCATAAGGATTTTCTCAATGTGTGTAAATACCTGAAGGAAAGGTTTACAGAAGAAAAAGCCAGGCTCTTTTCAGTGGTGGCAAGGGACAGGACCAGAACAAAGGCCCTGTCAATGGGCACAAAGTGAAATACAGGAGTTTCCTTGTGAGGGTGGTCAAGTACTGGCACTGGTTGCTCAGAGATGTTGTGGAGGTATTCATCTTTGGAGGTATTAAAAAATTATCTGGATATGTTCTTGGACAAAGGGTTGTTGGTGTCCCTGCTTGAGCAAAGGTGCTGGACCAGATGGCCTCCACAGGTCCTTTCAAACCTCAACCATTCTGTGACTCTGTGATCTCTTCTGAGTATGAGTATTGGTGATGATCAGAATTGGTAGTGTTTGAGTGAAACAAGAAGCAGTGAACTCCATTCTAAATTTATATTGGATCACTAATAAGCTTCACAAACTTTGGAGAGTGATTTTTTTCCTGAACTCTGCTATTCCTGTACATCTGACACAACTTCTGCACACAATGCTTTCAAACTTCTGGCTTAGTCCATGTATTCCCTCTTCGACCATGGTGAATCTTCTGCAGAGATATTTCTAACTTATTGTCCACCTCCAAGTTCTTTTACTGACATCATATCCATCTGGTGGTGCTGTGCTGATGCCATTATGTCTCCTGCTGAGCACTATTCTCTTGCTTCTTTGTAGCATCCTGTCTGTATCCATCCTTTGAGGCAGGGAACATCTGGTTTTTATACACTGATTAACCTTGAATGGAGACTCCAGGGCTCTCAGGTAATACAAACAGATGATGACGATAGCAATACAATGTTAGGCTCCAGTCTAGCATATTGATTTCACCTACATATGAATATCAAGTTTTGGAACAAAATCTGGTGCTTCAAAATTTGTTTTTAAACTGTTAAATATTTCCCTGGAACAATTATTCCATCTTTGCTTTTCTAGCTAGTCCAAAATTGAGATATTTAAAATTTTCCTGTTCAGATTGCACTGTAATTTACACATACCAGATGGAATTAAAGAATACTTTCTATAGGGAAGTGAAGCACAAAAATATTTTCATAGATTGTGAGAGGAAAGTTTTGCTTAGAGGCACAGAAAGCCTCTAAACTTTTTTTCTTTTTCCTTCATAAAAAATAAGAACAATTACTTTTTTTACACAAAGATGCCATCAAAACCATTCTACACAATTGTGCAGGCCTTCTATCCTTGAATAAAATACAGTGGAAAGAAGTCAATAAAGGAATCCAATTTTAAAACATCAAGAAATTTATAACAGTTTTTAAGAGCAAAGGAGGTCATATCCTTTTGGAGAATATCAGTTCTAGATGTCAAGGATACAACATACTCTTAATCATTATTTTTCTCACTGATTTTGTTGGGCCTTTCTTACTCTAGATGTAACAATTTTAGATCCCTAGTGAAAGCAAATGGAAGAATTCAGATGATGCCAAAGGTAAACTTGAGGAAAAAAATGAAAACTGACCACAGCTGGATAAATCCTCTTCTTTAGTGTTAATTCAGATAAACTGTTGGTATTTTCTTTTTAAAGACAGTTTAAGCACTGCATGGTGCATTCCCTTTCTAGAAAGAGTAGTACATCATTGTAAAGTAGGACTTGAATAGGGGAGTTGGAAACTTGGTTCCTAACTTCAGTCTTAGTGAGACAACCTATTCAAACTTTACATTTGTACAATTTTCCTGCTATCAGGGAAAAATGAAGAGTGTTAATAATGTGGAAGAACAAGATAGCTAGCACTACTGCTGGTTGCTGGTTTTTTCACCATACAAGAAAACAGGTACTGTTTTTGTCCTCTCCTAAAACCCCTTCTGCTTGGGGTCATAGCCAGGCCCTGCAGCCAGTACACTCTCATGCATCGTACCAGCACATTTTGCTGTGCCACCAGCTACTCCCACCCATCCACAGCTCCTGTTAGAGCAGCTCTGCATTTTCAGCAGGGCAATATGCCCTGGGACAGGTAGGCTTCCCAGTAAATGGAATAGCCAAGTTGCCCCTCTGAAAACAGCAAGCTGGAAACCAGCCCCTTTCAATGGGAGGTGTTTAGGCAGCTCAGCTGGATGAAATGAGCACACTGGCTCTCTGTGAGAGGTTTATGCAGCCAGTTGTATATCCAGAAGTGGAAGGTCTGCCTTGGTTTAGTGGCTGCTAACAATGGAGGAAGTCTGCCTGGAAAGTGGTTTTTGTGTCAGTGGTGTGTGGTGGGTTGACTCCAGCTGGATGTCAGGTGCCCACCAAAGTTGCTATATCTCTTTCCTCCTCAGTTAGATAGAAAATATAATGAAAGACTCCTGGACTGAGAAAAGGACAGGGAGAGACCTTTCATCAGACTCAGCTTGGGGAAATTAATCTATTACCAATCAAACAGAGTAACGTAACAAAAACAAAAAACTAAATCCTCCTAAACTGTCCACTCCTCCCTTCTTCCCAGGTTTAACCTCAGTCCAGATTTTGTCTATATCTCCTTCTCCCCAGTGGAGCAGGAGAATGAGGAATCAGGGCTGTGATCAACCCATTACACGTTGTCTCTGCTGTTCTCTCCTCCTCGGGGGGGGGACGACTCCTCACACTCCAGCTCTAGTGTGGGGTCCCTCCAACAGGAGACAGTCTCCACAAACTTTCCAAATGTAAGTCCTTCCCCGGGTTTCAGCTCTTCTGCTCCAGCAGGGTCCCTCCCTCAGGGTGCAGTCCTTCAGGAGCACACTGCTCCAGAGTGGGTTCTCCATGGGGTCACCAGTCCTGCCAGCAAACCTGCTCACTGTGGGCTCCTCTCTCCATGGGGCCACAGCTCCTGCCAGACCCCTGCTCCAGCACAGGTTTCCCACAGGGTCACAGCCCCCTTCAGGCCTCCACCTGCCCCAGTGTGGGCCCTCCCCAGGCTGCAGGTGGATCTCTGTTCCTCCATGGACTGCAGGGTCCCATCCTGCCTTACCCTGGGCTGCACCACGGGCTGGAGGGGAATCTCTGCTCCAGTGCCTGGAGCGCTTCCTCCCACCCTTTCTGCCCTGGCCTTGGTGTCTGCAGAGCTGTTTCTCCTGCATATTCTAACTCCTCTTTCTGGCTGCTGTTCCAGAAGTTCTCCCCTTTCTCAAATCTGTAATCCCAGAGGCACTACCACCATTGCTGATGGGCTCGGCCTTGGCCAGCAGCAGGTCCATCCTGGAGCTGGCTGGAATTGTCTTTGTTGCCCATGGGGGAATCTTCTGGCAGTTTCTCACAGAAGCCACCCCTGTGGCTCCCTCATTACCAAAACCTAGTCGCACAAGAGCTCTTGCAGCAAACACAGGGGCCAGCACTGGATGCCTGCCTGCCTCATCCAAGGCCTGCAGGTGCTGTGAGGCAGGCCTGCCACAGCTGAGGAGCCTGAATGTCCCCCACCCCTCCTGGCAGACTGAGTCCTGCCCGACACCAACAGAGGCAGCCTAGGAGGAGACTGGGAACGCCATCAGTAACTCTGATAGCGAGGTTAGACAATGGTGAACTGCACTCAAAGCAAACCAAATATAGATGCAAACCAACCCAGTTAAATTAGCAGGTGTTTAACTCCATGTTCCCTCTGCTCTCTGAAGTGGTGGCTGTGGCTCCAGCGTGAGCTGGTCACTTGGAAAGTGTTTGTCTTTGCGTTGAAGATCAGTGTACAGCATGCGTACAGGAAACAAAAATTGAGAGTTATAAGTCATCAAGACAGGTGTTATTTTCTGACAGGAATACAGTGATCTAGTTTATTTACAGCCAGTCATAACAGCAAAAGAGCAGAACATAAATCTTGAAAAGGGTGTCAAAGGTGGAAAGACAGCTGTGGAAGAACATACATGCCAGGAGACAGTGTTGGAGACTGTGATTATTCTTGCCTTATTTATCCCTACATATTTTAGATGCATTATTAATTCAAATTATATGAGTGTGATAACATGTCTTCTGTTCTGCAGATGGGTTGTCAGCAAATGGAAAGTCTGAACCTTCTTGGTGTAGATATGCTGTAGCAAAATTTAACATATAGGAAAAAGAAATTGTGAAGAAAAGAGTCAGCAAGGATCAAACAGTTCAGAAGAAGATGGCCCAAATTCAAACTCCTTTTAAGTGTATACATCACTACTTTTGTTTTGTATTTCTGCTGGCTATCATCTAGGTTATACACCATCTGAATTCATAGGGATGAAAGTCGCCCTTTAAAAGCAACCAGACTTTTCATTATATGAGTTACACATCAAAAATAGATTAAATAAAATAGAATGTCCGTGAACACATCCTATCTTCCCTTCATCTAACCACAGAAGTAATGACTCATTTTTATGACACAGATGATATTGATATCGATAAACTATTACTTCTGGTTCTTAATTTTGATTCTTAATCCAATTAATTAAACTTTTTTTTAATAGTTATACATTCTATTCATGGTTGCCATGGAGAGTGAAAGTACACAGTGTAACATCAGTTCTGAATCTATTAATATGAAATTATCAGTTTGGTTATGTTTCAGCTATTTTACCAGTAATAACTATGAAAATGAAGAGAACCATGATGTTTGTATGACCATTATGTGCTGTTAACCATAAATGATATGGCAGCCATGTGATTTCTTGACATTTATTAGGAGATTCTGTTCAATATCAAAAAGAATTTGTGACCCCAAAATAAAAAAAACCCTTATATCCAAAAAAAAAATTTATATCCAGAACACTCTCATCCACTATGTTAAGAATGTTTCTTATCTCTTTGTACCTGATCTCAGCCAGGATTCAGTCAGTCAGAATGTTTTTATCTCTTCTCTCTGCAAAGAGACCACATTGCTGCAAAAGAAATGTTTTGCACAGACAAGTGGATCCAAACTTTTCCCCCTTCACAGTGCCCAAAAGCTGCCATTATTGGAAAGGAGGTGATCCCTGCCATTTGCATGATATCATGGTAATTTGTCAAGTTGCATCAGGTGAGTTTGAATCTCCCCTGTCCTGTGAAGAACAAACAGCTGCTGATGGGCTCTTGTAAATCTGAACTACAGCTGTAAATAAATTTTTAACTTTTAGATACCAAATAGAATACCTAATGGCAAAGATTTTTTTTTGTTTTTTCTTGAAAAACATGCATTTGTATTCCCTCAGGTTGGAGCAAAATTTGCTGAAGTGGTTTTCTTTGTTTTTGCATATTTATTTTTAAGAGAAGTCTCTCTTTAAGAGAATCTATGACCTCAAAAGTTTTGAAATACACACAAATAAATGAGTAAAGGAAATTAAACCCTTGCAAAAAGGAAATGGAAAAGCTTATCAAGTATCTGTCCAATTTTGAATACTAGACTTTTTTATCAATAGTCAATGAAGAAGTTACAAACATCTAAGACAGCCACTGATAGCTATTGATATTTATATACAGATCTATGGGAACTGTAATAATGCTAAATATACTATGAACTGATCCTTTTCAATCTGCAATTTCATGCACATTCCAGAACGTTCTACTCCAAGGAGCAATTCATCCATAGGGAAAGCAGAATATATTTCATAAGGTAAAGTTGCAGTTATGGTGCACCTGCAGTTTTCTCCCTTCCCCCTTTAGACAGGAATATGCTACAGGAAGCAGCTAGGTAAGGCCAATGTGATTTCACAGAGAAAAGTATTTCTCATGGATGTCAAGATAACAGTTGCTATTATCAGCACTCATGAGGAGAGATCAGAGGACTCTCAGGATATACTCACAATCTGTCTTGAATGCATATATTTTTTAGGGTTTTGTCTTTCTTTTTAATGTAATATTATATACATTTTATATATATGAAATTATAAGATTTTAATATTTTAAAATAAGAATCTCACTCAAGTAATATTTCTCTTTGTCTTCCTCTTATGAGGAAAAGAAGTGGCTACAGTAACATTATTTCTACATCTTTGTAGAAATTATTTTTTGACATAATACTATTTTTTTAATTTTAACATTATATTCTTCTTATATTGACTTGACTACAGACCCATGACTTTTCACAGCTTTTAGATGAAAAAATCCCTTTACATTTTCTCCCTCTCATTGAGTCAAACCTCATCCTCCTAAGCGGCAGGAAGGAAAGTCTTCAGAGCAAAGAGTTGAATATTGCTAAACTAGTAGCCATGAAAATTGATTCTATAATGCATTCCAAAATTACATGATCTTCCGTGTTATTTTGGGCCACCTCAAAAGTTTATACAGACAGACAAGATAGAAAGTTACATGATGAGTGAAAAGATTCAGTAAAATATGACAAGGAAATTGCTTAGATTTAAATATGAGCGTTCACAAGAAGAGAGGAGATGTGTTATATCAGTCAGTGTTTTAATTCTCAATAGATTTTAGAGTGATTATCTTATTTTCTGAAGAAGCACTAAATCCACCAAAAATCACATTTCTTAAATGGCTTAGCAGTAATTTGCAAGGAGAAATATTGCACACAATTTCATTTGGTGGATAAAATATGGAGCTCAAAGTTAAATTATATGAGGGAGCATCCATAAATATACTGGTAACTTGACTGGACATTAGGTGAAATTCAGTAACAGACAGTGTTCATAAAAACTCAAACAACAACCTGACTAACTTCCTGCTCTGGAAAAAGGAAAAAAAGAAAAGGAAAAAATTAAAGTGGGAGATAGCCCAAAGTTTAATTAATTTTCACATACAAAAGTAAATGTCAGTTGGAGGGCACTTGAAAACTCTTCTTGAATTTTTTTTTCCCATACTCACATATTGATAGAAGTAGCGCAGTCTGATTTGATTCAAAACACTAAATCCCAGGTAAAGGAGGAAAAAATCTCCAAAACTATGAAAGAAAAGCAGAAAAAATGTCATTGTTCTTTCTTGATCCAGACTGGCCTTGCAGTACCAGTAGTTTCAACATTTTTCTGCAGTATTTTGTGAGCAACTTTCACATGACATAAGTGATAGAAAGCATTTGTGAAAGGTACTGCATAAATGATTTCCCACATGATTTTCTGCTACTTCATGGGTTACAAAATCAAATATCCATAGCTTTCTGTCATACTGAGGTGAAATAAGCATAAGAAGCACCCCATTTGTCTCAGTTCTTGACCAACCTTAAAAATAAAAAGGCACTGTTTGCACTTACATACAAACAAGGACAACCACATAGCAATGCAAAAAGATCCCTTTAGTGTTTTTCAGCTTTGGGATTTTGACTCAAATATTACTAGGGCTTTAATTGCTGACAATTACATGTTTTCAATGTAAAATAAAAATCACAGTTCTACATAGTCCATCGTAGTTTACAGATTGACTATTGCCTTTGAGCCTTAATCAGTATATGTTACCAATCTCTTTGCTGTAGTGCTTGCAGGAGTTAAAACTGGAGGCTAGCTAAACACATTGGTTTACACCACTTTATTTATGTTTCTTTATGCTTCATATGCTTCCATAGAGCTTCACAGCAATCATCCATTTCCCATCTGCTTATCTGAGAAGCAGAAGGTTCAAAAATACCAATACATACCAGACATACAAATCATTATTACTGGCTTTGTCTGGCAGTCTTAAAAATGGTAATGTTCAGGTGCATACAAATCATCTGTTGTTTTTACAGAGAAGTAAACTCTTGCTAAGCAAGATTTTTAAAGCTGTTTTTTTAAAAGCAGGGCTTCAAGACATCTTTGGGACATTGGGAATTTCCAGTTCGCTATCTGATACAATACAGACAATTACTTTACACACATGCACATGCGCACACACACACACACATACACATACACACAAATTAAAATAGCTACTTTAAACATAAGTTCTGTTAGTTACAAGGAAACAGCCTAAATTACTTCAAATATATGACACTCAGTAGAAATTGAGTAGAATAAAAAAAGAAGACAGAGAAATGGTAGAGTGCACATACAATTTCATCATTAACCTTCAGTGCTGTGGGGTTTACTTCATTCTGTAATGGACCAAAAAAATCTCAAAGCCAAAAAAACAACAACAAAACCCCTCTATTACTCTTCAAATCAGGAGAAACTTCTCTACATTTAAGAAAAGATTATTGAAAAACATCTCATAACTTTACATGATGTGCAGAAAAAAAAAATTATGAGAATTAATCTCATAGCTAATGATAACTCCATCTGATAGTGCTTGGAATTGACAGAAGGGAGAGATATTGAAACAAATCAAAACAAGTTTATGCTTATATTAATTACGGGTTGCTTTCTCTACCTTTTTTCTCTTGAAGCAATAAGTAACTTAGAAAACTGATCCCAAATAGGGTTATTTCCCAAAATGACACTGACTTGACATTGGAAAAAAAATTAGTCTGATTTCTTACCTTACTGAGGTGCTGGCTGTCAGATTCATTTATTCTTCAATCATGGGATTATATGAAAAACTGCTATCTATAAATTGACTAGGTGTTTGAAAGCACCTGAATCTTCTAAATCTATCTAGCTTCCTTGGGAGTCCAATAATTTCACCCTGAGGCAAGAAAAAATGTAATAATTTTTCCTCTCTCTGAATTTTAATTTACATAAGGCCAAAGAATCCTCAAAAAATGGGTCTTCTTCAGAGCTGATCCTTCTTGTTTCCCCTTTGCTGTGGGTCAAGGCATTCTGTTCTGCCTTCTCTAAACTGAAACTGTCACATATTGACTGAATTAAAGGCTCTGTAAAGCTACAGGGCAAAATCTACTGAGATTCAGAATGTTTGTTGGAAATATTATTTCCACAACTGCAGCTTAACCTAGGCTAGGAAAAAACCTAGGCTAGGAAAAAATATCATTTGGGAGTGTATAGAAAGCAAAGCAAAGAAAAACAAAAAACCAGCTTATTGCTTTTCTACCCCTCTACCTGCAAACACAAGTTTGACAAGGAAAAGTCAGCACAGGGAAGAGAAAGAAGACTTCTTTTTACAGGTAGACTGACAGGTCTGTCATTCTATTCCCCTTCTTTGCATCTTGTTATCAAATCAGACACCCTTGGAAAGCATTTTAGGTTGCTTCATGATGCAGGGAGTTTCAATATGTTTCAACTTCAGGTTTATTTGAGAAGAATGTACTGGAATTAGACCCACTCTCTCTTTCTCAGCTCTTTAGTCAAGCAGACTGTTTTTCCACCTTCACAAATGAAAAAGTTCATAAGGCTTGGGGTGTTTTGTGGTTTCATTTTACATTGCAACACCATCCTGAAATCCTGCACAGTTTGGAGCACACATCTCTGGAATGATACATTAAGATTAGTGTCATTTTTCCAATATTAAAAAAAAAAAAAAAAAAACAAAAACCAAAAAACCCCACAAGAGCAGTTTAGGAAACAGAATGCCTCTGATTTTTGAAAATGTATGGGCAGTATGTGTGACTTATTTTATTCAAAAACTTTATGGAAAGCTCTCAGATTGTAAGAAAAGCAAAGTCTGAAATTAGCATGGGTGTTTAGCTTAGCTTTATCTCCAGACTGGCAGATAGCTGCCTGTGAAAAGGTTTTAAGTAAAGTTCTTGATTGTAGGTCACTCCTCAGTGGATAAATCACAGAAGCAGGCACAGATAAGGCACATGATTGGATGTTCTCCTGCTGAGGAGAGACTGCATTAAGTTAGACTAATGAATACTGAATCATTTTCTCATCCTCAGGGTGGACACCCCTGTCAGGGCTGAGTCACTGTGCAAGCAGTATGCTGAAGTGATTTAAAATGCAGCAGCCTCTAGTGCTGGTGACAGATGGATATAAACTTTGGACATGATACACACTCATTTCTAGGCCTTCACAAGCCACCAGTACAAATATACAAGAAAACAAAAGACAAACTGTGACAAAAGCCCCCCATTTGTGCATATTTGAGGAAAGTGTGAAGTGGACACTTTTTCACAGCCTTTTCAAATCACCAAAGAGGACTCTCTTCCAGGGTAGTCAAAGATGGATACTTTATTCCAAGGTTACCTTGCTGCTATTTTTCTTTCCAGAAGACTGCAGAACCCCCTGCAATAAGCAATGTGTTACCTCTGCAGAATGAAACCGCATCTTTGACATTTTCTGCTGAAAAGTCTGATGCATTCACCACTTTACCTCCTCTGTTGGAGGTATTACAGAATCAAAATATAGATATGAAAACCTGGAGGTACATTTTGATTTTCTCACTTGCATTTTAAATAGAAATAGGTGGTCTTGCTTGAGAGAGAGAAGATAAAAGGGTAACTTCAGCAGTACCCAACACTGAAGGAAAGGACTGATTGAATGAGTATTATTAGACTCTGGGTGAGAAATCACACAATATCTTCCAACTTGGCTGAGAGATAATGTCTTATGGGCCTGACTTTGCCTTGGATTATGATTTCTGTTTGTACAATCCTGGTGTTTGTCATGGGCAACTACTCACAAGCCTTTCAAGTAGGGAATTTTGGTGAGCTCCCAAAGGCCTTTCATGGCAATCAGTGACCAGCCTAGGAAATATGCTGGCTCATACTGCTTGCCAGGGGGACTTTCATGAAGGTCCAACTGCTTGCTTTCAAAAGTTGCCTTCTGTCGAGCCTTTCAAAAAAACTTTGCACAAAGTGCGCAACGTGATTTATTTCTCTGTGGTGAACCCTCATTAGTCAAGAAGGGAAAATAATGCTGCCTTGGCACAGAGCACCCACAGAACATATCCTCTAAGGAATGCTATTCATAAAAGCAAAAAGGATAATGAAACTTCATAATATACATGCACAAATTCTTCTAGCTACTCTGTCAAACCGTAGCCTATGGAAACTTAAATTGGAAAGCTGCTTAGGAAAGGAATCATGTGGCAAAGGGTGGCTATGAATAGTCGCCAGCAGAATAGCTTTATGGAAACAATAGCTCTAATACTTGCATGCTCTTCTATGTCATTTAAAGCATTGCTGTTGATTGTAGAAAATGAGACTTTTAAGCTGACCTTCTGTTTTACTATTGGGGAAGCTAATGCTTACATTGCAAGTGGAAAGCTGGCTGGTTGGTTTTTATTATGGTATGTGCCACAAATAAGCATGTCAGGAAGGTCTGAAATTTCATCTCATCCAAATCGATTAGTGTTAATGTTTTTCTCATTATGATTTCATCAGGATTAATTAACGGAATCTGTGAATAATATGCTGCACATATTTGATATGCAAAACCAAACCAACTGTACAATTTATGTTTCCTTACAGCTGGTGCTTTCCATATTCAGTTAGGAATATAGACTACATGTCCACGGTGTAGACTAATGCAGCTCACCTTCCTGGGCCATGAAGTGCCCTGGATGTCAGTGAAGCCTGTGCTAGCAGGTGACCCTGCTGGAGCTGACAGCTCTGCCCTGCACAGCCAGCCCAGAAAGCAACAGACTCATTTCCTTACCAGCTCAGGAGTCCAATGAATGTTTACGTTATATTGGTACAAATATGTCTTGGCTATTGAATTTTAAAATAGTTCAGGGTAAACTTATGAAATGTCCAATATTTTTTTTCAGACTCATGCAGTGGTCACTCAGAGCACTCTATATTTGACTGGCATGATTCATCAGTAAGTATACACACCAGACACAGGAGTGGGCTGCTTGTAATTTTCAGGAAAGTGCTCATGAACAGCAGAGAGAAACTGCTGTTGATGGCAACAGTAGTGTCCAATTAACCCCTCTCTAAATAAATATCTGAATTTTTAGAGAAGCCATTTTTATGTGTCTTTTGTAAAAATTTATTTTGTGGGCAGATCAGAGGATAAACATTTTATGTCCTTTGAACCTTTTTAAAAACATGACAAACCATCTTTACAGGCAATAAGATCTTGATATTTTGAGGCACAGAAGCAAAATAGTGCAAATCTGTTTTCTGATCTCACTGGTCTTGGCACTGGCTCCTGGATATTTACATCTTAATTTCTTCCCCTCAGATGTGGTATTTGATTTAAGTGTTTGTGAAAACTAACAATCTGACAGTCCTGTAGACTGAAGTCTTCCATTTATTCATCCATTAACTACAAAGTTCAAGTTTCCCTTTCAAATTAAGTGCCTCTATCCCTGTTGGCCAGACCACCTCGAGGGAGGAATAATTTAGATCCCAACCACACTCCTACCCCATCCTCACTCTTGCAAATGCCAGCAAGAAGCCGATCTGTGCCAGCTGTTGCATATTTCTGATGGACACACTTGTCTATAGGGAATAATGTGATCAGGTAACTTCAAGAAGATAAAAATTTCAGGTTACCACCAGTCTGGGCTGGACTTGAACTGATACTCCAGGAGCAAATTATTGTCTTCCATTATCAGTCCAGATATACTTTGGATTTTCTTTGGAGCTCTAAGAAGTATCTTAGTGAAAGTAGACTGTTTTTTTAAATTAAATTTACTAAGAATTCTGTGAAGAATTCGAATTTCAGTCTATATTAACTGCATTGAGCTGTGGTTTATACTTAATAGGTAAGGAAAACAGAGCATAGTATGCAACTCATTATACCTGGTACATAGTGTCAGGTTTTGAAACAGCTTGTATTTAATCTGCACCTATACAGTGCAGAAAGAATCCAGAAAGAAGCTGAAGTTTGCTCAGCTAAATCTTTTTTCAGGCAGCTGAGAGGTTTTCAGGAAGCTGAGTTTTTCACTGATTATTTTCCCCACTTTTTCATATTTTCAAAAAAGGCATAAATAAAAATAGATTGGTTCTGAAGTAACAGAAGGCCCAACACAGAGATGATGAAGGTATTCCAGTCATATGGATTATGGGAGAAATCCAAAACTTCCAGGTTCTCATTTTTCCATAAGAACCAATTCTGACATTTAATTATATAGGTGTAGATATGCCAGAGGGGGAGCAAAGAGGAGATTCTTTCCTATCTGTTGTTGCAGCTTGATTGCTTTGGTGCCACACATACTACTGGCACTGCACTGCTGCATCTATGAAGAGCCTCACTCTTTTGGGGGAAAATGAGACAGAGATGTGGTAGATTCTCCAGAAGATGTATTATGCCTCCTATTTGCACTGTTGCCACCAGTTTGGGATGGAAAGGAACTTGGTTAGGCCTTCAGCATGCTGTACATGGCACACTTGGTTCTTGGTGTGTGACCACAGAGCTCACCCTTCATGTTATAAAGGCATGTTTCTGGATTATTGATTTCTCCAGTGTTTTGCACTACTTCAAGTGCCCTGAAAAACCCACTGTATTCTTTTTTCTGGTGGAGAAAGTATGAGTGCTGCTAGTGTGGGCTCTAGTGAGGGGTTGAGAAGGCAAGTGGGACAAATGCTCTCAGGGGCAGTGGGGATGCATGTGCTGCATAACTGAAGCCTTGACAACAGCTGGCAACTAATGCCAGTGCTGTCATATGTAATGACCAGTCTGCAAATTCAATCCAGACTGCCATGTCAAACAAAAGACCTTATCCTATTGAATTTGAACCATGAACTTGGAAAAGAACTCACAGTAGATGAGACAGAAAGGCTACATGCCTACATGCCTTTCCCTGTTTCAACTTCCTACAGTCCTCTGCTGCCCAACGTGGTTTTATTGCCTTCTTGTGGTGTTTCGTTAATGAACCGACCAAAATCCTCCAAGTTTTACTTAGGTAGAATTTTTCTTCCACATCTTATTCTTTTTCTGTCTTTTTTCCTGTCTAGAACAACAAGCCTTAAGCCCTTGAAAAAAATCTTGACAAACAACCCTGTGTTCTGCTTTGCCAGCTGACTGATGGATTAGTTACAGGTACCCTTACCTAGGCTGCCTCTTCTGCAGAGCTGCCAACAGCACTTCCATACGAATGAGTGATCACCAGCACTCACAGTCTTCTTCTGCTGGACCTGTATCACTTTCTACCTCTACATAGATGGAGATACCTGGTTAGACAAAAGCTTCAATCAATTTATGGTTTGGAGCCTGTCACATACAATGTGAGTCTGCAGTATTAAACTCACAGGAGTTGAAACAGATATAAGGAAAACCTAGCGCTTGCTAGCCAAGTGCAAATAGCTAGTCCTGTAATGATCTGAGAAATTTAAGTCTCTCAGCTGGAATCCATCTATTTTTCCCTTGTGTTAAGGCCTTGGGTTTATTATAGTGGTATTTAGTCTACTAGTAGACTGAAAGCAATATGAGACATACCCATTGCATTCAGGAGGGAAATTTTGCACATTGTATGGATGCTGAAAGCTTTTTTCTTCCTAAAAGGCAGGAAGAATTAGATTTGTCAATTCCCCAGTCTGCAGTGCTTTTCTGGGAATTTTGAATTTTAAACTCCAGCCTTCTGACTAACAGCTCAGGACAAAAAACTAATTCCTAGCTGTATCCTAAGACTTGTCTTCAGTCTGTAGAAGGAAAATTTTCACTGTGGAAATCTCTTTTTCTCTGAGGTAGAGGTTGCACTACAGGCTAAAGAGAGAAAACCCAGTGCCTTTTGCCCCTTGCCCTTTCCAGGAAGGTGCACTGGGGAGTTCAGGCAAGTATTTAAGTTAGTTCTGCTTGAAAGCCTTCTGCCAGATGAGTGGCTCCCACACAAAAGAAAAAGAAACAAGAAATAAAGAGAAGCTGGATGTGGAGAATTTGTAGTCCCTATGCCACTTTTGTCACCAGAGTTTTCCAGGGGGGCAAAAATGCAGCCTAGGCAGGAATTCAGCCATACTTTGCACCAGTGAGTGCATCTCTGAGTGCTGCTGTGCCAGTTTCCCTTTAGCTTTCTCTTTTTTTAATCTCGGAAGAACCCTACAAACTAAGGCAAATATCTTAAATGGAGAAACAGATAATGCAGACAGAGCACGCATGCAAATAGCATGCAGAACCATAGAAAATATCCCAGAAAACATTATGAGGTTGTGTTTAGGATAGTTGCAGCTAAACTAGACAGCCTGTTAATGGACATTAGGAGAGTGTGGTTTGGAGCAGGCATTTCCAAACATTCGTAAAAGATTGAGAAGCCTTGGGAGGTCAACAAATAGTTTTGTGAACTATCAGATCCCATTGACCAGTTTTGCATTTCTGGCTTCTATTATAGTGCATATGCCCCTTATAGCCACTCACATTCACCATGATCTTTAAAGCCAGTGGCAACTCACTAAAAAGTCAGCGTGCAGTACGAGACCCTTTGGTTTATGATTAATATATTTCCAGTTCAGCTTCAAATTTTGCAAAAGAAGGCTTCTCAGCATGCATCAATAAGAGATTAATCTTACATCCTTCTCAAAAATAACTGCTCATAGTTTTTCTTGTTTGTCAGCAGCTGCCCTTTTATTCTCAGCAAGTAACTTCCTGTTATGCATATGATGTGCAGATAGTCATTCTTTCACTTTTAGATCCTGTGGTGGGCAGATTTAGTAAGCAGTGCTCCTTTCAACCTGCAAAGCACTCTGTCAAAGGCCATTTCATTTCTTAAAAGAAGTTAATAGCACAGTGGATCCATTTACTTAGATTCTTTGTTTTATTGTGCCCAGCCATCTTGGTGTTGCAACACAAAAACCTAATGGACAGTTAAGGTTGTGCAGAGTCATTAAAAAAGCCAGATTAAATCTTGATTTCTGCCAGACATAGGTGACTGGAGGTCAGGTACTGCCATTTTTGATTTTACAACTATTAATACTGAGTTTGGAAAAGGATAGGTAATTTATTTCTCTTTTGTTAAAGCATGGGTAAATATATTCATGTCACTAAAACATTTGCATTATTAAAGTATTTGAATGAACATGAATAAATTACTAATCTGAAAGGCTGTAATTATTTTTGCTCAGACAAGAATAAATAACTTTTTTGCAGCATCTTTAGGCTTGGATGATCCTTTTGCCCTTGTGTATTTGTAAACTCATATACCAGTTGAGTCACCTGGATCGAAGCCACTTTTTAATAAGACATAGAAAAAATAAAGTACATTTTCTGTCAGCCTCCTCTGCTAGAACTACAAAAATAATTGCACTTGATTTTACTTCTTTGGAAAAAAGGAACAAAACAAAATAAAGCAAAAATAAAAACCCCAAACACCGCAATAACCCTTAATTTACTTGGAAAAAACAAAATGCTGTTAACCATCTTCACTGACCTTTCTCTCAGCTGACGGTTGATTGTGACAGACAAAGCTGAGTAATCAGCCAGCTGTGGTAAAAAACAAAGCCAGGTACCTGATGCAGTCTGATTCTGAGCTACCATTTGTGACACCTGTGGATTCCTTAGGAATGCTTCAACGTTTTGAATATTTTGTCTTTCTGTCCAGAAATTGAAGAAAATTTCAAGACTTTTATTCACAGAAAATATATATTTCATTTCTGAATATACAGAGTTGAATTTAAAAGCATTCTTGTTTCCTTTTTTTCTTCAAGACTTTTCCTTTCTAGCTTTGAGAATTCCAAATATCTCTTGTGTTCAACATTTTCTCTAGAACAAGAAGTAGCAGACTAACATTTGAAGGAAATGACATGAAAAAAGACTGCCTTTCATTTTAGATGTCTTTCTTGCCAAAACAAAAAAAAAGAGAAGAAACACTAGTTGAAACATGGTAAATTATGATTGGGTGTAGGAACAAAAAATTCACAGTGAGGCTGCCCTGTAACAACTTGTCAAGAGATGTTGCTTTGTCTCCAGTCTTGGAGATATTCAAAACTCAACAGGACATGGCCCTGAGCAAGTTGATGTAAGTTGTCCTTGCTTCTGAAGAAGCAGCAGGAGCTGAATAAGGTGACCTCTTCCAACTTGAATGATTCTGTAGCTCAGAGCCTTCCACATGACAGCAAAGTGCTGTCTACAATCTTTGTCAGTTCTCAGATTTTAGATTCAAGATATAATTATCTTGAATAGATTGCTTTGCATAGATTGCTTTAAATTCTAGAGCAAGAAATATTACATATATTCATATTCATGCCACTGTCTTTATAGAACAAATCTGCAATCATTTGTTCCTTGGAAAATTGTTCATGTAGCAAGTTCTTGTTCAAGCAGGAACAATCCCATAGAAGTTTGTAAATTATGTTTTGGTGGAATGTTAGGATTAGATTGTGCTGGTAAACAGAATATATAAATGAAATATTCTCCTTTAAGTTTACTGAATGCTTCATGATAAGTATATTCCACATATTATATATATGTACTACATATGAAATTAATTTACTGATAACTATTTCAAAAATTAGGATGTCTTTGGAAATCAAAGAATGATAATGGAACAACTGTTCATGACTTCCTGTGGCATGCGGTGAAAGAATCGAAATTGGTCTGGAGGAGTTCAAGTCTGGTTACCATGTTATCACACATGGTTTGTACCTGCTGCAGGCAATAGTGAAATGCCTCGGCAATTGAACAAGCAAACATAGATAAAGATCTCATTTGAAGAACACTTTTTCCCCTTTCCCCCCCCCTTCTCTGCTGTTTTTTAAAGTTGTTCAGCTTAACGTGCTGGAAATATCCGATTTGGTTTTACCTTCATTTGATAAGGAAATCACTAATGATGGGATGGCAAAGGATGGTGAAATTAGAAATATACCCCTCAATATTTAGTTTGTCTCCCAGTTTTACTTGGTTAGCAAAGTTTCCTCTAGAAAAGGCAGAATGAAGAAAAGCATGAAATCTTACTGAATTTATTGTCAAATTGTTGGTTTTGTCATACTCTGCCTTCCTTTCTGACATTTTTTATTAAGCAAAATGTTAAGCAAGAGATATAAATAATGTTTTATTGGAGGCATCCTCATCCATGATTTAATGGTACTAAAGATAGACTTCCCAGCTTTCCACAGGGAAAGGGAAGGGAAGGGAAGGGAAGGGAAGGGAAGGGAAGGGAAGGGAAGGGAAGGTTCTGAGCAGCAGCAGCACATCTATTTTTACTAGTTTAACAAATTTTAGGAATGCCTTAAGAATATGGATGGTGCAGTGGAAGTAATGGAACATAGTAGTCCTGTGCAGTGGCTGTCTATGATCCTGTTTTCCCATTTATGCTTTAGGAGATGTTTGCTATTTGGGAATAAGATGCAGGAGACTGCTATAGGAAAAACACTTGTCCTGACCTTATCCTTACTCCATAACATGAAAGTAAAAGAGAATTTCAAGCAGCATGGATTGTCATAAAATCATGCCTCTCCTGAGGGCAAGCCAGTAACTTAGGAATTATCCCTGCATCCAGATTTGTTAAGAAAAAGAAGACACGGCAGAACTGTATTTCGTAAATGACTGATAATTTAAATCACATTCTGTCCAGTGCTCATCTAAACCATTGACTAAATTACATCACCCGTCACAGCTCTTGGTTGTCTTTCAAAGGCAACTGCTCCACTAGGAAGGTGAAAAGGCAACTGAAATAATACAATGTGTCATCAAAATAAAATGTGATACAATTTAAGTTTATTGCTACTCAGGGAATTCTATTCCAGCATCTTACCTTCTTTGTCCAAAAGGGAGATAAACTAGTAAGCATTGACACTTCTGGTCAGAAATTTTCAGTTATTATATAACTGAAATATAAGTGTTGTTTATACAAGACAGAAGTAAAATATATTCCCTCTAGACAAAAGACCATTAGCCTTAAAACTTTCATTACTTCTTCTATCCTGAAGATAAAAACTTGCATTATTTTTCAAGAAAAAAAGCCTTGAGCCTCTAGCAGAAGATGCACAGCCTCCTCACAGTGTTGAAATTTTAAACATTGCCTCAGTTGAGGCTTTAACTTGCTTTTGGTGCCTCTGTGTAGCATTAAGCATATTTTCAAAGGTCAATTAAGTGGTTAATCATAAAATACCAGGTTTCTGTGATAGTGGCACTCAGTACTAGCTGCTCGCATTACTACAGATCCACTCTACACACCCACCAGAGACCACAGTTGGGGTTTGAGGGTCTGTTGCTTTTGACTATAAAGTTACAGGGCAGATTGATG